ATTCATCTCAAGTGGATTCAGAGATTCAAATCTGCTGATAAATTCATGTTTGTTGAGAATTTTGGAGGGAGGAGGAAGATGTTGTCAGCTAAGCTTTTGAATAATGTCTCCTTTGACATTTTAAACTCAAAGTGGGCTGAACCGCAGATCAACATGTGTAGGCATTATGTGACCGAGATGTAGCATGTGTACAAATAGACTGTGTATATCTGAAAGATAGAACCTGGAAGGAAAGGTAATAGAGAAGCAAGGTAAAGGGGGCTCAGAAATGAGGGATTCTTTCTGCTATTTTCTTTATATGTCCTGCTTCCTGGTTTCATGGAGTAGGGTAGGAGGAAAAGGAGTATTTATTTATCTACCCTAATTAGGCCTGATGCTAGGTAATACAGACACACCATTTTTATATATGTAAACAGAGTCACAGAGAGGTTATGTCTTTTTTTTTTTTTTAAATAGCCAGTAGACTAGTACATTCATAGGTGGACTACTACTCAGTGAGTGATACAAAGTAATGAGCTTTTTTTTTTTTTTAAGATTTTATTTATGTGTCAGAGAGAGAGGGAGAGAGAGCATGCACAAGCAGGGAGAGTGGCAGGCAGAGGAAGAAGCAGACTCCTCACTGAGCAAGGAGACCGATGTGGGACTCAATCCCAGGACCCTGGGATCATGACCTGAACCAAAGGCAGACCCTTAACCGACTGAGCCACCCAGGCGTCCCAAGAGGTTAAGTCTTTTGCCAAAGTTTATTAGTAAGTGGAACCATAATTCAAATTCAGTTCCTTCTTCTTCTGAATTCCAGACTCTTACAACTCTACTTAATTTGCTTGCTTTTCTTGGTTATCTCTCCCTCTTCCCCAGCATTTAATATTATAATGATATATATTATCATTATAATCATAATATTATTATATATATAATTATATATAATAATATATATAATATACAATTATATATTATAATATAATGTTATAATATTATAACTGTTGCCCACATATAAAATATATAATATTTTATGCCTTTTTTTGTTTTAAGTTCTAGATGTCAGTCCTTCCCTTCATCCCTTCCTCGGATGTTTGTTAAGTACAGGCAGCGTGCCAGGCCCTGGGAATCGAGAGGCTAGGTATGGGCAATGCCACTCAAAGTATGATCTGTGGACTGTTCTTGGTCCCTGCATTCATCAGGGTGCTCCAGAGAAATAGAGGAAGAGGGTATGCGTGTGCGCATGTGCATGTGTAAAGAGGTTTATTATAAATAATTGGCTCATGCAGTTATCAAGATGGGCAAGTCCCAGGATCTGCAGGGTGAGTTGGCAAGCTGGAGACCCAGGAAAGCCGATGATACAGTTCCATTCAAAAGGATGGCAGGCCCCAGACCTAGGAAGAGCTGGTGTTTCAGTTCAGATCCAAAGGCAGGAGGAAAGAAAAGAATATCCCAGTTGGAGGGCTGTCAGGCAGGAGGAAGTCTCTTACTGAGGGAAAGGTCAGCCCTTTTGTTCTGTCAAGGCCTTCAACTGACTGGATGAGGCCCACCCACACGAGGGAGGGCAATCTGCTTAATGTCCTGATTCAAATGTTAAGCTCCTCCCAATACACCCAGAATACTGTTTGACCAAATATCTGGGCACCCCATGGCTCAGTCAAGTTGACACATAAAATGAACCATCACAGTCCCCAAACTGTTTTGCAGCAAGGGAAGTATGAAAGGTAAACATTGACATTTAAAAGTTAGAGGGGGCGCTCCTGGGAGAGACCAGAGCCCACAGGACGTCATTGGGGTGTGCAGACCACCTCTAAAAAGGCCGGCCTTTTGCTGTCCTAACCCCTCCCCCTCTCCACCCAGAGGGCCAGGACAAGCCAAAGAGGTCAAGAGACAGAGAGAGGAGTAGTTCAGGAACAAAAGCAGGAGTCAGGATGCATGAAATTAGAATGAGCCGTGAACATGGCTGAGCAACAGGCCCCTCTTGTATGGAGCAGCACTGGGATCTGTCAGTCGGGGTAGAGACACAGGGTCCCCGTGCACATGGAGCCAGGGAAAGTCAGAGTGGAGAGGGCCCGCAGCACAGCTCCCGGACGTTCCCTTCCAGAAGCGGAACCTGGCCAAGGAAGAGGACGGCGGGGCCAGCTCGGGATAGCCTACCTTTAGAACAAACCAGAAATCCCAATTCCACTGTTGATTGAGTACTTCCTGTATGCCAGGCGCAGGGCACAGCATACGTGTTTCCTAACATCGGTTCCCTTCCTTCACATCTGGCGTTTACTATTTTGTGTGTTGTCTTCGGTGACAAATCTATAGAGCTTTAAAAGGGGAGAAGACACCTTTAGGCCTTTAAGAGCTAGGTTTGGTTAAAGCCATCTGGGGTCTAAAGAAGAGTAGACTGTTGATCTAGCATTGCCCCCCTTGCCACCCCTGGAATTGTAATTGCTTGGGGATTACATAATTATGCCTTTATTTATAAGCACATAATCAAAGAATTATGGGCATGGAGAATGGGGGCTCTCGGGGGAGGAGTCAGAGGAAGTGATGCAGTCCGCTCCTTCCCCCTTGGCCTCCCGATGAACTTGGACCTGCCTGAGGCTGAAGGGAAGAAGGTTCAGAGATGCCATAGGTCGAAAATAAGCCAAGGTTTGTTGGCCCTTTTCTCCCATATACTAGAGAACAGCCCTGTGTTGAGAAAATGTACAGCCTTTGACCCCCTAATTTATGTCATCAATGTATCCTACCCATAATACCACCTCCTCTTATTGGAACTATTGCCCAGCGGGAGGCAGAGTGCTCAGAGCTTTGTATTTCCGTATCTTAAACCTGCCATCATGGATTGTGAGGTTAGCATTTCTGCTCCCGTGTCAGAGCTCCGAGCATTTAAGTAGTCCCTCCAAAAGAACAAATTTCTGGTTCCCCCTTTGTTGTGAATTTTCCAGAGCTTCTGGGACCCTGGTGTATTTCCAGAGCTTGCTGGAGTCCTCCCCAGATGTCCCCAGGGTTTTTTTCATAAGGACGAAAACCCCACAGGCCTCAGAGCATCTGTAGCCGTAACTCCGAGCATAAAAACGGGAGCAGGGCCCCCTACAGTCATGGAGACCTTAGTTGCAGTCCTCCTGCACCACAGTGGCAAAGCTTAAATGTTTCGAGTCTGTTTCCTTATCCGTAATGGGGACATCAGTTGCTACCTGCTTTTGCTGCGATCACCTACGACATTATCAGCATGAACTACCCAGCACTGCCCAGATCCGTGGCAGACCCCACACAGAAGCTGGATGCCCATCTCCTCCCACCCTTGCTTGAAGGGTCGATGGCAGTTGAGCAAAACACAATTGCCGCTAATGGCCTGTTCATTTCCATCCTCGGTGGGACTGATTTGGTTTTTACCAAACAGGGAAACAGGTTTCAAAAGCTGGGGTTGGAGCTTGTGACTGGCCAGCTCAGTGACAATCCAGCCCTCATCAACCTGTGATTTCATGTACCCACACACACTCCGCCTCGGCCTTTGATCTGTGGTCCTGGGCAGTGGAATTCAGTGAGTCCGAGATGCCACATTAGTAGGAGAGGGCCAGGAGCTCAGGTGTTCAACCCCAAGGCGATTAAGGGGGAGAAGAATGAGTCATGTCTGTGAGGGCTCACAGACACATCACAAGGTCGTGGGCAGAGGCCGGGGGTACATCGGCACAGCTGAAGCCCACGGGGTGTAATTCATTGCCTCCTTTGATCCTCAAGTTTTGTGAGTCACAGAGACGCTCTGGGACGGTTTGGAAGCTCGGTGGGGTCTGGGCAGGAAGAAGAAAAACTCGGAGTGTGGAAAAAGAGAAATTGCGGATTTTCGGGGCAGGCAGCTAAGAGAGGATAATTTTCTAGAGATGTCATTTTTGCTTGGTCGCCTCGAAGGATCCCGGGATTTCGGCAGCGCAGGAGCCGAGAGGAGTGACAGCTTTGGCTGTGTCCTGTCCCTGGTGCACCTGTGTACAAGGTGTGGCGTGCTAAGTATCTTTGGTAAATGGGGATTTTACATTAATAAAATTAAAAAAAAAGTTCTCTGTAGGGCTGATTATGAAGCTGTTTAAGTGGAGCATGTACAGGTTCAGGCCTAAGAGAACCCGGGGTACAAACTCCGACACCGCTGTGCCCTGGTTGTGTGGTATTCAGAGACCTCCCATCCTTTCCGGGTATGACGGTTAAATGGAGTGTTGCTGGCAACAGTGACTGCTTTTCTGGGAACACCTTGAAGTTAATTACACTCCTTTCTTCTCCTTTATTGCACTTGGTTATTTGACTCTTGGCTTGGACCCATGTATCCACCCTTATGGCATCTATCAGATGGTATGATACGTTACCACGAAGGTAAGTATGACCTGTGCTTTGTTCTCAGTGAACTACCGGCCTTCACCGGAAACATTCGCTGAAACAATTGACCAAGTACAGTATGATAGTTTGTTTTTCAATAGTGATACGTACAGAAATAAAATGTGTTAGAACAGCCTGAAGATTTTGCCTGCACACTGAAGGCGGCTTTCCCTGGCAACTGAGGCTTCTGAAAAAGGGTTTTGAAGGATGAATAGGAGTTCCCATAGGAAGAAATAAATAAACCTTGTCATTATTATTATCTGTTCTTTTTACTCCTTTTTGCTCTCTTCCACTTTCTACTTTTCCTCTTTCCCCTCTACCTGCTAGCCCTCCTTCACATTCCTATTTTATAGAGAACAAGAATGTCTACCTGGAAACGTTCCAAGTAGGGAAGGGAAGACGGTGTATTTAATTAGGAAACATTATGATTGTCTTCTCTAAACAGCATGTGCATTTTTATCACCGTAGTTAAGTCCTTCTGTCCTCAGCTTTGTCCCCGGCTCAGTGTGGGTGCATTTATTTGTCGCTCTGTTGCCACCCACTTGCCCTGGTCAGTGGGATCGGGAAAGGAGCCTCCCGCGCAGTGACAGATGCGTGGGGTGTGGGGCGGGGCGCGCGGGGTGTGTGTCCCGGCTAACCTGGTCTTTCCCCGCCTCCGCCCCCAGATGGGAAGCCGGTGTCCCTGTCGCCGCTGGAGTCGCAGCCGCACAGCCCCCGGTACGCGGCCGCCGGCCAGCGGGAGCGCGAGAGCCTGGAGGTGCGTGTGCGCGAGGTGGAGGAGGAGAACCGCGCGCTGCGCCGGCAGCTCAGCCTGGCGCAGGGCCGTGGCCCGGCGCACCGGCACGGCAACCGCTCCAAGAGCTACTCGGTGGAGGAGGGAACCGGGGACAGCGAGAACCTCCGCGCCGGCATCGTGGCGGGCAACAGCTCCGAGTGCGGGCAGCAGCCGGTCGTGGAGAAGTGTGAGGTAAGAGCATCCGGAGGCCCCTGGCCCTCCGCCCTCCCAGGTGCCACCGGGAAAGCGCCGGCATTCTTGGCTCGGCCCGAATGCGAATCCGGCACCGCCCCTAACCTTGCTGTGTGTGGCCTGGCCAGTCCTTTAGTCTCTCTGAGCCGTGGTCTTTCCCATCTGAGAAATGGGCGCAAGAGGACCTCCACCACAGAGATGTTAAGAGGAGCAAAGGGATGGAAACTACCGCTGGTTTCTTGGCGGTTCATTGTGACCCACTCGGGATTTCTGCACCCAGCTGTCATCCATCCTGGGGATGCTTCTTACTTAGACTACAGTGTGAGTGGCGCAGATGGAGTTGTGGCCCTGTTGGGCGGTTCCCTTGGCCGCCTCCTTACTTTATAATCAGCTTCTGGAGTTCAGAACCAGAGACTTGTTGCTTCCCTAAGGCGGTGATTTAACTTTTGAAGCTTAATATCCTGCCCCCCCACCCCCACCCCGAGTTTGCTTTCTGTATTAGTAACTCTTTGGACATCTGGAAAACTTACGCACACCCTCTCCCGCCCATCCTCATCCTTCCCATTTGTACATCCGTGCTTAGGTCTGCCCTGAACACACATACACACACGCACACACACACACACACACACTCATGTCCTGCTTCTTCCAGTTCCCAAGGACAGGAATTAGAGCAGCCCTGTTAAGAGCAAAGCCTTATGTGACCCAGACAAGCCTGAGTTCATATCCCAGCTCTGGTGGTTTCTACTGTGGGTGCTTGAGCAAGTTACCTAACCTCTCTGAACTTCAGATGTCTCCTCAATAAATTTGAGAAAAGAAGTTCCTGCTTCATGGAGGATTTATGAGAAGTAGATGGGATGGGTCATATAAAGCCACAAACAGTGCCTGGTACATACTATATTCTCAATTATGGTATTTTTGGGGTTTTTTTGAGAGCATGTGTGCGAGCAGTGGGGATGAGGGGGTGGGCAGAGGGAGAGAGAGAATCCCAAGCGGGCTCCACGCTCAGCACAGAGCCTGATACGGGGCTCGATCCCACAACGCCGACACCATGACCCAAGCCTAAATCAAGAGTTGGACGCCCAACCGACTAAGCCACCCAGGCGCCCCATCAGTTATGGTTAATTTTTATTTTTAGTTATCTACATTACCTGCTGCTGCTTTATTCCATTTCCTGGCCACATTGTCAGAATGTGAGACTTCACACCTCCCTGAAAACACCTGGCAGACTGTAATATGTTGTTCATGTGAGGGTGGTTATTATGTTGCTGATACTATACAGTCTGTCACAAGGGAATGGGGGGCTTACTAAGCAGCATAGACTCCATTCTGGAGAAGGTCAGCGGTGAACGAGGAGAGCCCCCTGGGTCTAGTAGGATTTCTTGTGGCTTCTCAAGCCTGGTTGAGGTGTGGAGAGGTGGACAGTGGTGGATGGAGCCTGTCCAGTGAGGAATGCACACGTGAGCATATAAAATGTGAAGTAAAGCATTGTCCTAGCAAGAAAGAATGCAGGACATGGTGAGTTGATCAGTCAGCAAGCCCAGAGAACCTGGGCTGGGAAATGGTTGCACTGGATTATCATTCATTCTTTCGTTCAGCGGACAGTCCCTGAGCCTCTGTTACGTGTCTCACACTGTTCGCTGTGCTGGGAAATATCAATGAACAAAAAAGAGACAAAACTCCCTTTCTTGTTTTCCCGTTGAGGTGGGACGTGGAGAAAGAGATGCTCAAGAAATTGAGAAATTCAAACATCAGGAGGTGTTAAATGCCACACGTTGGTTCAGCCCTGCCCACATGCCAGGTCCCATCCATTTATTCCTCCACAACCATCGCCAGTGGCCTGAGGTCCTAAACATCTCTCTCTTAGTCTTTAGTAGTGCTAACAGACTCCCCTGCTTCTGGCTGGTCTGGAAGGACCCTAATTTGAGGAACTTCCCTTCTTGTCTGGGAGAAGACTTGCTGGCTTTCTTGCAGGTTCTCTGCTCTCTGGTTATGGCCCTGGTGTCCGTTCAGAGTGGGCGATGGAACCCTGCCCACTAGGTGGGAAGGCCCAGGGGGAGGGAGTGTATTTACGTTATTATGACTCAGGCTGACTCAAAGCACTGACTGAGAATCAAGGAGGTGAGAAATGGAAATGAGAAAGGAAAAAAAGTGGTGGTGGGGGGAGACAAGTGGAGCAGAGGGAGAAGGTGGGGGTGGGGGCTTTCTCTTCCTACCACAGTCTGTCAGACCACAGTCTGTCTCCCCAGTGCTGTTTCCTGAGAGACACATCCTATTTCTAAAGAGGGCTTCTGCCCGGAGTGCCCCACAGAGTAGTGTAGACAAAACAGCTCCTAAAGCTGGGAGACCCGAACCTAAACCCTGGCCCCATGCCCAGCTTAATAACTATGTGGCACTCAGCAACTTACATCACTTTTCCATATCTTGGTTTCCTCGTCTGTAAATTACCAAGAAAAATCAAGTTCCTGCCTGGTTTGTACTACATCAGTGGTGACAACAGATATTAGAGCTGGAGGCAAACTCTAAAAGAGTTGTTATTGGCATTAGATTTCCTGGTGAAGTACCAAAATATCCCACCTGACAGTGGCTTTGCATCTTATTTCTCTTTATGCCTGAAAAGTCTGGAGGCCTTTTTCAGTAGGGATGTCCGTTTTGGGGACGCGGGCTTCGGTGATGTTTCGCTCAGCTTACTTGCCTGGCATTCCCAGGGTCGTCTCGTCCATGATGACTGCCAGAGCTTTGGTCCTGTCTCCACATTCCAGCTGACAGGAAAGCTGCGGTGTTAAGGTGGGGCATGCCACCTCCCTTCCATAACACGTGTTAGACGTATCACAGTCTGTTCCTCTAGGGGCACACTGACGGAAGAACTTCCCTGTAGGACTACCAGGAGCTGCCATCTAGCTGCAAGGGAGCCTGCAAAAGGTCGGTTTTTACTCGAGGAAGCCGCGTTCTCTGCTAACAGTTTGGAGCGCTGCTTCTAGAACAGATGTCAAGGTTACAGTGAACATTCTTTATCACATGGGCTGTGCCCAAACTTGGTGGTCAATTAGAATTACGTACCAAAAATGCATATTCATGGGACCCACCCTAGACCTACTCATCGAGAATCTCTGGGTGTAAGTTGCAAGAGCATGAGCATTTAAAAAAACAACAACAGGGACGCCTGGGTGGCTCAGTCGGTTAAGCGGCTGCCTTCGGCTCAGGTCATGATCCCAGGGTCCTGGGATCGAGTCCCGCATCGGGCTCCCTGCTCCGCGGGGAGCCTGCTTCTCGCTCTGCCTCTGTCTCTCTCTCTGTCTCTCATGAATAAATAAATAAAATCTTAAAAAAAAAAAAAAAAAAAACAACAAAAAACAGTGCAAGTGATTCTGAGATAGTAGAGATTGTTTGAAAACCACTGCCTGAAGCCACAACAGAAACAATGGGGTTCTCTTCATGCCCGTTCTCTTTGAGAGATGAAGTAGCAGTTTAGGAATTCAGACCTGGGGATTGTTGATTCTTCTAGTAATTTAGTTTTTTGTCTTTTGCGCCTGAGAATTAAAGTTTCCTTCCTTTGTTTTTCTTCTCTTTGCCTGTCTTGATAATGTTACTTCCTAGACCCTTGAAGTTAGTTTTGGTAGAATTGTCTGTGCTGAAACCCGGGTCCTGTTCCAAGCCACCACAGATGAATTTGGAAGTCTTGATCTGCTGTAGCTTATTTCGAGGTGGTCTCCTCCGGGGACACCTTGACCTTGAGATGCTGACTTCACACCCATTCCAGTGTAGATACTTTCTCCGTCTCCATCACTTGGCGTCTTTAAAGATTTTAGTGAAGAAGCCATAGAGGCAAACAAGAAATGTCAGTCAGCGGAGTCAAAATAGAAGCCTCCCTTCATCGAGACACTTGGCGATTACAAGTGCCGAAGCCGGTCCTGACGCCCTGTCAGAGCTCAGCACCTCACCACAGAGGATGTTGTCATCCTCCCTCATTGCACTGAAACCTCTCCGGGGTATGACAGGTATTTCTGAAAAGTCTTCTGTAATGATGCCCAGGCTGTCAGCCGAGATACCTGGTGATGGAAACAATGGGCCCTCGCCAGTCCTGGTGCCCTCTTATCGTTCCTAATTATGTGGCCTTTAAAGAGCTGTCCGTTTTATTCTTGCCTTCCTCTGTTGTGAGGGCAGTGCTGTTTCAGCAACGGACTGGTTTCTGCATGCCATGGAACTTCTGCAGCAGAGTCATCCTCTGTGATTTCTGCTTGGGCCCTCGGCTGTCTGGATAGGTGTACTTTTCTTGCACTTCTGGTTCTGGTCCATTCCAGGAGTCAGCTCTGCTACAGCAGAAAAGTCACTGGAACTGGGGTCCGAATTCCAGACTGGGAGTCTTTACTTTGTCAGTCGCTAGTCATATGACCTGGGGTAATTCAGTGACTTTCTTAGAGTCCGTGTTATCATTACAAAAATGAGAATTTATAATCTGCTCTTCCCAGTGCAGTTGTGAGGATGAAATGGGCTAGCAGGTGGGAAACCAACTCTGTGGGAGCATCCCATAGCCTTACTCTGCGCATTCCAGTTCCCTAATGCTGCCTAACAAACACCTAAAATGTCGCAGCTTAAAACAACGTGGGTCATTTTATTAGCTCTCATGGTTTCTTTAGGTCAGGATTTGGGAAGGGCTTTGGTGAGCAGTTGTTGTTTGGGATCCCTCATACACGTGTCGTTAGTTTGTGGCTGGAGCTGAACAGTGAGGGCTGGAGCTGTGGGCGCTGACGCAGCGCCCCTCTTCCCTGTCATAGACTCGGGGCCTCTCCATGTCCGTCTCTGCGGCCAGCTTGGACTTCCCTAAACTATGGCGGCCCCAGGGCACTCGGCCGCTTCCCTGGAATTAGTCGGTGATGTTTCGTAATCCCTTTAATCCCGTAATTCCTTTATTCCCGACTAAATACAAGTGTTCCAGTGACTGAGGCAGAACAGAAACACTTTTTTTTTTTTTTTAAAGACTTTATTTATTTGACAAAGAA